TGTGATTTCATTTGGTACCCTCAGAAGAAGTCTGTGTAGACCTGAAAAGTGAATCTATCTCAATAACTGGCGTATGTGACAATTTTGTAACTGACAGAAACAGGGTCAGACTGTATGTAGAGACAATTTTTTTGTTTGAGATTGACATTAGAATGCGGATAGAACCCCTGTTAGGTTGTTTTTTTATGTCTGTGTCCAGCTGGGGAGATTTCCCTTCACTTCCTGCTCTCAAGGCACAATAGGAAATGAGAGAAAATCTGTCCAAAGTGAGGGAAATTCTCACTTGAATTATACTCAGTGGAACAGGTGTCCTCATTGGATTAGTTATCTTCACCTCTTGCTCTTGTGATAACTCTAACATTGCCAATTTTCACCCATTTTCTGTCATGGTGACAGTGGACAAAAGGATGAGTACGGAAGTGGATCTCCAAAAAAGGACACTGACTGCAGTGGTGTATCTTCTCCACCCTAGCTAAAGCTAAAAAAACTTTACATACACTTCAATGTCTTGTTTGTGCTAGGAAGTAAAAGAAACAGGTCACCAGCACTCGTTTAGAATAAATATGTCCTTTTTTAATGGACAATTGTGTCACTACAATCAAGAGAGCCGACGTTTCGGGGCCGCACAGGGTCCCTTCTTCAAGGCAGTAAAATTGTGACATATGTATTCTAAACGAGTGCTGGTGACCTGTTTCTTTTACTTCGTATTTTGCACGGTGCCATCCGTGATAGTCATTGCGAGCATTGCGACCGTTCTTATTTGGGCAGGACTGCTGCAAGGTGTGCTGAGAGGACCCCCACCACCTGAAAACTTGTTTGTGCTAGGAATACATACTGTCATGGCTGGATTCCTCTCGATGGAGCCCGTAGACACAAAACCTTCCCCCACCCATATAATATTTTTTTGTTTTGCTGCTCATAGCTTCTCTCACAATAATGTGACCGTTTTAGGGGTGGGGGGTGGGGGTAAATGTTGTAAGAGGTAGTGTAAGAGTAAGGTGTCAGGGAGTGTCAGCACTTTGGGTTTCATTTAAAAAAAGTTGCTGATGTTAATTAATTGGTTTTTAGTGCAGAGACAAAAAGGGATACATTTATAAAACGTCTGCCTGGCGAATAGCCGGACAGATGGTGTTTGCACGGCATTTGTGCCCTTGGATGTTGCTGACGCTTATAGGAAAATCCTATACTCATCAGCACCATCTAGGGGAGCTAGTGCCGTGCAAACACCATTCGTCTGGCCATACGCCAGGCAGACGTTTTATAAATGAACCCCTTTTTGTCTCTGCACCGAAAACCAGTTTATTGACATTATCAACTCACTGGTTGCTTTCACTTGACTGGAATAGCTTTAAACTTGTATGTACTGTCAATATTCAGTGCAGGCCTCTGAATGAGGAAATATTTTTGTTGTAAACATATCCATATTGTTCTCAGCTGACATTTTATAAAAACATAAACATATAGACCTAAACCATTTAACTATATTATGTTTACAAGTAAACAACTTTTTTATTGAGGAATGTGATACTTCCAAGAAAAACAGAAGCACTGAAAGACTTCTTGCTGAAGCCTGTGGAAAGAATGCATTCACTGCACGTTCCTTTGTTTAGAGTTCAAATAGGAATGGTTGACGGCAAGCAAGATGAAGATGGAAATAATGACTGAGTCAACAAGTTCCATTTAAGGTGGCTGTAAAGTTCTCTCACCGAGGACCACTGACGGAACCTCTTGTGTATATTCTTGTTCATTGCACCACTGGGATGGGATCATTCTTCCTGCCTCAGTGTTGTGCAGCAGTGAAGGGAGTGCTTCATTTTCAATGGAGAAGACAGTTATGGTTGGATGATCACAGAGATTTTCCAAAGCATGGAAATGTATTTGTATTAGTAACAAGTGCGAGTACGAGTGTAAAAAAAAAACGGGTTAGTAGTTTATCTCATCGTAGCTCAGTGAGCACATTTTATATTCAAATAAGTCACATACTTCATTTGGAAGATTCATTTGTTAAAAAAGGTCATGTGACCTCCATAACCCTTTTCCGCTGTGCTTGCCAGATCTGTGGGCAGATGTTGAAGTGTTCAATCACTTAGGTTGATGTCACTATCAGACTCAGGGCTGTGCGCTGCTGTCAGGAAAACACCACTTGGTGGGCCTGCAGGCATGACTGTCTGTGGCCTCACTGGCCTACTACAGTACCTTACAGGCACACTGTGCGGCAATACATCTTGCATTCCCAATGTGGGAGCATGCACAGTGCCCACATGCTAATTACCTTAATAATGTAACACTTTTAGGTATATATGACCTTTCATAGAGATCACAGTACTGCCCCCTAACAATGTCTTTATCTGCTTTTTTTCCTCCAGAAGGATGGTACCATCTTTGTTGAGGCTCTACCCAGGGTCAACATCTACTTTATGGACTAAGATGCTAGCTCAGAGATCAACAGTTTGTGGCTGTGTTCACAAATCTGACACAGATTAGACCCCAGCCACAGCTTCTTACCTTTTAACAATATTACAATGTAGCGGCTTGATCACTTGAGTACTCGTACTCGCCAAATGCTACAATACTTACCCCAATACCGGAACTCGCAGTGTCGCAAGGGATTATGGAGCTGGCTGGCTAGGAAGCTGGCTTCATGCTGCCTCACGACACTGCGAGGCGGCTTAGCTTCCTGACTAATCAGGAAGCCGGATGGCACATCATGACCCGCCCCCTGGCTTTCTAGTTGACTAGGAAGCCAGCTTCATGCTGCCTAGTGACGCTGCGAGGCAGCCTGGCTTCCTGACCAAGCCGGGAGGCGGGTCATGATGTGCTGCCCGGCTTCCTGGTTGGTCAGGAAGCCAGGCTGCCAAGCAGTGTCACAAGGGAGCATGAAGCCGGCCTCCCAGGCAATCAGGAAGCTGGGCGGGAGGTCATGACATACCATCTGGCTTCCTAATTAGCTTGGCCCACACTACCTCGGGATGCCAGTATCGGTATTTGTACTTGATGCCGAAAAACCGTTATGAGTGTATCCTTAAAATAATTGTAATTTGTGTATTAAAACATGAAAACCCATTCCTCCTTTTGTACCACCTGATAACAATTTGTACTGTACACCTTTTAAAGCCATAAAACATGATTAAACATATTTTATATGTTTTTATAAGAATATGAAAACCTATTGAACCATACCTTTTAAATGCATGCTACTATAATCTATTACTCTTCTTTTTCCTTAAGACAGACTGCTAATGCTTTTGTGACAAGAGCATTATATAAGATCACCTTTAATGAATCCCAAATGACCAACTAGTTATTTCCCTGCTTTAAGTAGAACAAACCTAAGGGAGGTTTTTGTTTTAGTTACTAAGACAGCATTTTGCTGCTTATCATCTATAAATAGTTGTTTTATCGTTTGAGTATGGGTCTCCACAAGGAGTATGGATTCAGCAGTCCATGGAGGCATCAGTGGAACAATTAACTTGTGGCCTTCACCTGGGGTTCTCACTTCAGAGACAGAAACAGGAACATTATTGTGCTTATTTAGAATATTTGGAAATGTAGCAAGGTATTTTGATGCTTCTACATTATTAAATCATAGCATTCCAGGAGACCAAGAGCTTCATTTAAGTCCCATTACTGCGCTATACTATAAACTTTTGCTTGCCAATAGTACCAGTCTACCAAATGGCACATGTCCAATATCTTACTAGACTACTTGTCTAATGGCTTCTTGTAACTATTGCAAGTTTTTTAGTGGGTACAGGAAGCCTACCCTTGAGTACAGTGAAACAGTACAGAAGGAGGCACATGCATGTCTAAAAGCGACCCTTGCCATTCCTAACAACACCTATGCATGATCAGCGGTTACAAGATTACTCTCAGAATATAGAGTCAGTGTGTGACAGCTGCAGTGTCCCATTCACACTTGGCTTCACTTGCATTAATTTCAATGGGCTGTCGCACGCATGTCAAAAGCGGCAAAGAAACTCATGCAGTAGTTTGAGCTGGGAGCGTCACGCACTTTTTGACACCACGTTTATACGCGTTTAGCACATATCAACATGCAGGCGAAGATGCATGTTTTACCAGCCGCATTTGGGGTGCCATTAACAAAAAACATTCACCGCAAGTGCGTCACATGTTTTTAACATGTTCTGTGAATTCACACCAATGCACACGCTTGGTATATCTTGCTCTCCCAATACTTCTCCTTTAATAATTTGTACATTCATAAATATTTTAGCATATTCAACTAACATGTTTATCAGTTTGTACATACTGTAGATCATCTTATTCCTGGTAGTAGGATTAAATTCCATCTCCAGTTCACCAGGCTCTCTTCTGTTGGCCACCTCCCCCCAACTCAGCGGGAACTCCCTTAACACATGATCCATTTTTTGGCTTAATTTTCCAAACTGGAATTTAAAATGGAAACGTCATTTGCGTTTCTGTTACCTGTACCAATCCCATCTTTCTAAATCAGGTTTCAAAGAAAAACAAAGGTGTAATTCATTAAACACACTCAAGAGATTTTGAACATCTTAAGCTTCTTCATGTGACATGAGGCCTTGACTTAAAAATGTTTTCAGGTCCAAAAACAATCTAAGAGAATTGAAAATAATGTTTTCCAAACAAATAGCTTCAAAAAGTGTTATGATCAGCGGACCAGAAACCTTTGTGATATAGGTGTATATAAGTTTTGCCTATGGCATTCTTCAACAATTAACATTGAATCTGTGGTACAGCTGCTGAATGTTTGCATCATAAATAAAAATTGAATGTAGGAAGGAAAACGGGGTTTTGCGCAAAGCAACTGTGCAGATGCAACCTGTAGATTCTGTAGTGCAGATTAGAAAATTCAAGCTTAAATGTATTGGTTCTGAAGGGTAACACAAACTTTTGCTTTCTTCCAATTGTTGGCAGTGAGGATGATGATTTTTTGTAGCATACATCTTCAGGTGCCTTCTAATCCAACTGCTCTAATACTTATAATGTCTATCTGTTCACAGGTGGTCGTTTTGTCCTCATGGTGCTTGTTACGAGATGCTTCATATTACACACTGTCTGTTCTCGCACTGATTGTGGTAAGTTTATGTATCACTATTTTCAATACTGGTAATTCATTGATCATGTTATAAAATATGTTTTAACATATGTCATTATAGATGTTCATTCATATAATGTACTGTGTAGCATAAGCATGCGCCAGGAGTAACCGGTAGTTGTATCTCCTCCGTAACTGGAAAATCTTTACATCGGATTTTACTAGCAAGCCTCAAATTTGGGATATGTACCTACATTAGTTGGAAGGGACTTATTTAGTGCAACTGGAATATGGAAAGTTCTATACTCCAAGACAATGCCATTTAGGAGTCAGTGTGGTTGATTTACTAACCTTATAAACACGCCACGAACAAGTATACACCTCTGTAGTGTGTTACCTCCCAGCATGATCTATTGGTGGAATCTAGACACCTTTGTAGTGTGTACACACCCAGCAGGTGTGTTGTGCAAAGCCCTGCATGAATTGCAAGGTGATGTTGTGTAAATTAGCTCTACATTGTGTTGCTTGCGTTGATGAATGCAGGAATGTAAATGCATGAGCTAACCATTTTTGTCATGATTTTTCCATATATGGCATTAGTGGAAATATGCTTTTAGAGACTTGCATGCCGCTACGTAAATACATAAAAACGCGCCATAACGGCGTGAAAATGTGACACGTTGCTCGTGTTTGGTTGAATATGTGTTGCTGTGTAAAAAAGCACACGCACCTGGTGTGTGTGTGTGTTTAGGTTAGTAAATCACCCCCAGTATGTTGGATATCCTGAAAACTGGGTGGTCCACAAAAAAAAATCCAAATTTGTAATTTAGGATCTTCATCCAAAGGTTGAGCACTCCTGTTTTATTATTATTATTACATAGGATTTATATAGCGCCAACAGTTTGTGCAGCGCTTTACGCTTACAGCGTTTTAAAACATTATGAACAAATGTATTAAATAGATAAGTGTGTTGTAAGTAACATGAATAACATCTAACTGAACAAGAATTATAGAGAACAGGAAATGAAAACGCAACTTTGCCCATATCTTTGAAATTACAAAAAAATACATCTTTAGAAATGTTTAGTAATGACAATCTACAAACACATACTTATAGATAATTGCCAGCTTTTTATTCTTTGTATACCTTATTTTTCTTTTTCCCCTTATTCTTCTCACAGTGGCCATTTTTACTAAGGGCAGATTAATATATGGTCCTTTACTCCCTGGAACTCTGACACATGTGACTAGGACATGTGTCCATGCACATCATCTCAGGGGACGAAATGCCTTTCCCTGAGATCTCCTGCGATTACAGATGAGATTTCCCAGCAATGCACTGCTGATGTAATCTTCCCAGGATGCATCACTTGGGCACAGATTACATTAATGCCCAAGAAGACCCGGAAGTGGGGGCGAGGGGTTGCAATCTGTCCATGTTTCAAGTTTCACCCTAAATATGGGTGTAACATGAAACATGGTCAGAAAGGTGAAATTAGCCTTCAGATAATGAATGTAAGATGATTTCATATAAGCATGCAGAGCTGCACGCTGATGTGATTTTTAACGTTCCGCTTTAAGAGATCTCATTGTAATGCTCAATAACTAAAAAGCACAGAACTGATAAAAACAAAAATGGGCTTACATTAAAAAGTCTTCTGAATTTACCTTAAACTGCAAATGAAGTATCACACCTTTCCTTCTCTTTATAGTCCTATTTAATGTTTACCAGATAAAAAGTAAACATAATAAAGCTGTTAGAGTTAGATGGTATATGTGCAACAATGTAGACAAGATTAACTTTTGGCTTTACATATACTTTAAAATACTTTTTTCTCTTATTGTAAATGCACTTTCCTGTGCTCCCTCTCCAGTGCTCCATGCTGTCAATGAAGTTTCACAGCAACACCCCTGATCACAAGTGTTCTCACACAGATATAGTAGAAAAGAGACACTCCATATAAGCTGTGCCTTCTATTTATTATCATAAATAAGACATTGCAGGACACGCTCTCTATGACTAGGTACAAGATTGTGTGAAACGCGTAAGAGAGCTCTCCTGTTGTTTGTCCTGGAATGCCTTATTGATGATAATAGAAGCTGCTTTCAATTATTTGGGGTGCTGCTAGCCTTCATTTCTACTATAGTGACCTGATATGAGGTGGGCTGGCACCCACTGGTCAGGTGTTTGTGGACCAACCTGAAGCAGCACAGCATTTTGAACTGTTCTCACACAGTCTTGTATTCCTGAGGACTCCATTACATTATGGAGTGCATGGGGCAGTTTGGTTCCTATTGCATAGCACAGTCATATTCACACACACTGTGCAATAGGACACTATTAACACAATCTATTTCTGTGACTTGAACTGGGCTTTAATTTGTGGGGCAGAGCTGAGTTTCTTCTCACCTAATTCTGTGCTATGCAGCTCCACTTTGTTTCTGTTCGAGAAATAATAAGGTTCCTTGAGAGGATGGGATTCAGCATACCTTTCTTCATATTCACTTGGATGTACAGTTGCTGTTCCCAGAACACCTTGTTACTGGCAACAAGTGGATTTTAAGAAAGGAGGGGGCCAGTAGCACAACAGCTATACAGAACGTGGAGATAAGCAGAACCACTGGGAGGGCACCATTGCCCTGTATGCTTATTAAGGCTTTATTTTTCAGTTCTGCATAAAGTGTAAGTTTAGACAATATATACAAACATTGCTATGTGATATGTTCTGTCATGGACAATGTCCGGATATGTATACAGCAATGATAAGATGTTGATTTGGGCCTCCTTCAGAACAGCTGCTTGGCTTCTTTGTATAGCTGAAAGCATTTACCAACTGTTCCTATTTACATAGGCATCTTAATTTCATGCCCTTGTGCACCTTATGCAAATTTCACAATGAATACACATGAACCCTGCTGAGATTAGTTTAACAATGGCAGAAGTGATAACAATGTTAACAAGTTTCCAGATCAAATCGTATATAGGGGGTTCAATTCATTTTTCCTTCCACATTCAATAATGTTTTCTAACATTCGCAGACCATTGTATGTATAGTAACAGTTTAAAAGGAAAGCATTGTGCATTTTCATTCTGCACAATGTTGCAGTTATTCTTGCAATGTTAACATTTTGTTGATATGATTTCCATATTTTTCTACATATTTTTTAAGTTAAAGCCCATCTCCGGACAAACAAAAAAAATCTACCCTTGCAGTGGGACTACTCTCGGCACTGTAAGGGTTAAGTGCTAATTTATGTCTAGGGACTGAAATCAAGCAGGAGTTACTTAGCTGATCCAAGCTCCCTCCAGCACCCCCCCCCCCCCCCCCCCCCTGGTTTTTTTTCCCCCCTCTGGGCTGCTAGACCCGTCCCCACAGCCTCTTCACCCCTCCGCTCCGGCTGTCTAGGGATTGCTGATGTCATCATGTCTAATGCAGGTTCCATAGATCTGCATCAGATGTAAGGACATTCCACCAGCCACAGTGGAGAAGGGGGGAGAGCCAACCTCTGGGGGAGTGGAGACCAGATAAGTAAATGGACTTTACTCCATACCTTTGGTTTGCCCAGAGATGGGCTTTAAATGTAGAGATTTGTGGATTGGCTACTGGACATGAGACACATGGGTAGAATAACATACATATTTAGAAAAAGAGGCATCATATGTGGTCCATTCAGGATTCAATAATAAGTTGGAGTTGGTCAGTATGCCCATGGCACAGAAGTAGCAAGCATGCAGCTTCCTACCATGATGATAGCATTCCACTTGCCCTTCAGTTTTAGAATTTGCTTAATGAGGGGCCCTCCACAACATCATCAACACATAAGAAGTGACAGGCAAGTGCAGAGCTTTGACCAATCCCTGCTATCCCCCTGGTTTCCTGTTGAAGAACGTACATGGTAGTTGCCCCCCCCCCCTTTTACCGATATCCACCAGGCACTAGGCTCCTGACAAGGTTGCTTTGTGGATAATCTGGCTCTGGATGGCAGACCCTTTGTGCTGATGATCCAAGGCTGGATTCACTGGCAGCTTTAAAAATGGGTCCCTTTGTGTCTACAATGAGGCACACAGCTCTGCCATCTTGATAAACGTCTGTGCCATCTGCATGCAGTGTAAAGAAGTAAATTAACATTTACTTACATCTGAAGCAGCTGCCAAGGGAAAATAAAAAGCACTTTTCTCCGGCTACGTGCTCTGCAATCTACATGTTACTTAGATGTCTTGCATCAGAGAAGCAGAGACGGTCACCGAAAGAGGTCCATCTAAATGATACAGAATGACTGTGCCCTGTCCAGTGTCGTTGTTATGGCAGAATATTTTCTGTCGCATTACCACCTTAACCTGCTTAGCTGATTGAAATTTAAGTGCAGTTTGCATTATCATAATTAACATAATCTCAGGCTCATTATACAGTCAATCCAACAGCTGCTTGAAAGAGAGATTTTTTTATTTCAGTCCGTCGGCTAGATAAGGAAATTGTTGACTGCAAAATATTCTTATCAAGCAGTTGCAGCTGAAATAATTTGGCAAGCGACCAATAAGTTTATATGAACAGGATTTGGAGGAGATTTTCTATGAATGATACATAATGGCTTTGCATTACATATGGGAAATGATGTGGAGATAATTAATTGTAAACAATACAGATACATAATTGAGTCAAATCCTTTTGTTACAGTTGGGAGACGGACACAGGCTTTTAACTCGTTTTCCATTTCTCCCTGTAATAATGGATTATATGGCTTTTTTCGAACTTCTCAATGTGACTCCTCCAGTGATTTGCCACATTTGTTCCCAGTTTGAACTATGTCCTGCATATGTCTTCCTTTATTGAGCAATGTTTAAACAGGCTCTTTTACCCTGCTTATGCCCATGAGACCAATTAAACTGTACCTTTTCCTAGAACAGTGATCTTCAACTAGTGGCTTTGGAGGCATATGTGGCTTTCAGCCCTCTTGGAAGTTGTCCAGGGAAGGAGTCTTTGAAGGTGCCTACAATGTATCCCTAATAGGCACACATACTTCAGACTTAAAGGAGAACTA